GCTTAATATAACGTAAATGATGTCTCTTCCTGAAATATGTAGTAGAAGACCCATTAAAGATTTATGTTATTTTAAAAATCACATCGTTTTATACATATTGTGGACTATGGGGGGCGCCATTATTCTGATGACATAAAATGGTTGCACTCGGTGAGCTACTGCCGCTACCTGTTGCTAATTTTACCACAACCCAACTCGGAATAGACAACCCGGAAAATAAAATACTGTTATGATGGCCACAGCTACTGAAAGAGCTTACAGGTGGAGATGGATAAGCATAGGCTTAAACCAAATGCTGTACCATCGATTTTTCCCCACATGGAGTCTAAACGCCCCGGATCTCGAGGAAAATCTGCGCTGAGAAACTCCTCTAGCGGCCGCGCGTCATGATTAGCGTCGGCATGTTTACAGGATGACATAGCGTTTCTCAGCCGTTTGTAAGCTCTTTCAGTAGCTGTGGTCTACTAAAAGACTCAAAGGCATCAGGACTAAAGTGGAGTGAAAAAAGAAGCGGGTCTTTAGGAAGTTTTATTCGTCCACAGGCATCTTCCCATTCTTTTCTCCTCTTCTTGTGAAGTCTTGCATTGCTTCTCTTGTTGCCCTTCGACTGAAAATTACAACCAAAAGTCACACAATGTGATATCGTATCAGTATTTTATTTTCTGAGTTGTGTATTCTGAGTTGTGTTGCGGTAAAAAGCCAAAGACTATAGAAATAAGCGCCAGTAGCTCACCGAGTGCAACCATTTGACGTCATCGACGCAGAATGTACTGTGCACATAAAATAATGGCGCCCCCCATAGTCCAAAAACCATGTCGATTTTTTAAAATAACATACTTCTTTCATGGGGTTTCTACTATATATTTAAATAAGAGACATCATTTACGTTATATTAAGCTATACATGTCTTAATACCCGGGGATCCCTTTAAGGCACAGATATTTTGTGCCAACATTCTGTGCATAAATTTAGAATTGACAAGAAAAAGTATGGCATCTGTGGGCAACCATGGTAGATCTTACGTTGTTCTCCAGGCCCTCAATGACTTCAACGCCATTATGACTCAAGTAAAGTTCTCGCAGATTCCCAAGATTCTGCAGTCCTTCCAACTTCGTGATGCGGTTACTCTGTCAGACAGGAACAGATGTTAACACCCAACAGAGAAGGCAAATTTGGCTTTAAAAAAAAAATGCGTTTCCAGCACAAACGCACCTGGATACTGAGAACCGTCAGACTGTGCAATCCATCAAGGTTCTGTAGCCGAGTGATTTTATTCGTGCCAAGGAACAAACTCTCCAAAGTAGTAAGAGAATCCAGATTCTCAATAACCTAAAATTTACATAACATAAGCATACATAAAATTCAAGCCAGGACACAGAGAAATGTTAAACGGTAAGCAAAGAAGAATATGTAACACAAAGAGCAGATGTGGTCTTGGATGTCTCACCCTGATGCGGTTAGACCCCAGCTCAAGCATCTGGAGGCTCGTCAGTTGATCGAGGTTGGCAATGCTTGTAATCTTATTATGAAGCAAGAAGAGCTTCTTGATTTTTGTGAGACACTCCAATCCCTCGATCTTCCTCAATAAGTTGAATGATACATCTAGCTGCCTGCAAATCACAATCACAAATGAGAAAACTGCATGTATTTGAACTTTCTCAATTCTTCAAGTACAAAAGATAAAAAAAAACTACTTAGAATCCAGTTTAAAATTCTTAATGTATTCTTTCTATTCATGGTTTCATACGGTTTTGAAAAACTGTCATTAATTCAGCAGTTTTTTTTTTTTTTGCAAAACAATCATGCTAAATTACATTTTCCTTTCAAGATTTCTATTGGAACAAAAAAAGAATAATAATAAAAAAAAAGCTTCTTTACTAAGATATTAGGGCAGTTATCCTGACATCTGTGTCCCCCAAAAATATCACAATGGATTTGAATACAAAAATTAAAAACATGCAACCCTTTACAGACACCTTGGCAATTTAATCACCATTGGCTAGTAAATTCTTTAGTTTAGACTGTAAATATTTTATTATATCTTTTCATGTGACAACACTGAAGAAATGACACTTTGCTACAATGTGAAGTAGTGTGTACAGCTTGTATAATGTAAATTTGCTGTCCCCTCAAAATAACTCAACACACAGCCATTAATGTCTAAACCACTGGCCACAAAAGTGAGTACACCCCTAAGTGAAAATATCCAAATTGGGCCCAA